TTTTTTCTCAATCGAAGTGTGCCCCTCGACGCTCGCACTTTGTTTTTTGACAGGGAAAGTCTTGGTGCTCAAACTGGGCCCCGGGCCCCTCGGATTACAACAACAATGGCTCCCGCCTGAGACTTCCTCCAAATTTGCTCAGGGCCCCCGCTCCTGAGACTTCCTCACAATTCACTCAGAATCGGTGCTCCCGCCTGTGAGTTATTCGCAATTTACTTAGGACCCCCGCTCCCATTTGAGACTTCCTTACAATTTTCTCAGGAACGGCGCTCCCGCTTGAGACTTCCTCGCAACTGAATCAAGATTTCCTCGCAATTTAATCAAGACCCCCGCTCCCGCCAGGGAACCCTCCACATGTTATTCAGGAATTGCGCTCTCGCTTGTGACACCCATGCACTTGATTCAGGCATCGCGCTTTCGACGCTCAGGAAACACGCTGCGCCAAGGAAGCCGCTACAATTAACTTAGTAATCGAGCTCTCGCCATACTCAGGCATCCCGCTTGAATGTCCCACCCACCCGACCCGCCCGTCAAGGGATTGCCCGCCCGTCGTGGGTTCCCGCCCGAGCCTTCCTTCAGGAACGGCGCTTTCGCCCAGGCCTTCCTCGAACGTTCACGCTCTTACCTTCCTGCTCCTCCTCCCTCTCCCTCTTCCCTCCCTCCTCTCCTCCCTTCTCTCTCCCTTCTTTCCTCTCTCATCTTTATGCCTCTCTGCCCTATCCCCTTTCCCTCCTGTTCCTCCTCCCTTCTCCCTCCCCTCTCCTGCCTCCTCCCTCCCTCTTTCGTCGTCTCTCTCCCCTCTCTCTCTCTATCCCTCTCTCTCTCTCTCTTTCTCTACTTCTCTTATCTGTTGTTTTGTTCCCCTCTCTCTCTGCCTCTGCCTCTAATCAACCGCCCCCCTCTTCGCTCCTTCTCTTCTGGCGTTGTCCCTCTTCCTTCGTCCCTCCCCCTCCCTTCCTCCCACTCTCCCTCGTTCTCCCCGTCCTCTTTTTGCAGGGCCCACACTAATTCCAATGGCGGGCACATGTACGCCCACGTAGGATTGTTCGCCCGTTTAGGTTTGCCCGCCTGTCTAAGCCTGCCGCCCCCCGCAAAGAGAAAGAATTCCCCGAAAGGGGGTGTGATCGAAGACGAAGAGAGCGGGTATCGAGGGTGTGTGGAAGTCGTTCTGAATGACACGCGGGCAAGTAAGAGCGAACAGTCTTAGAATGAATTCCCCCTTCTGAAGAATAATTATTGTTGATCCCCCCCTCGACGCTCGCACCCTGTTTTTTTTGACAGGGGAAGTCTTGAGGCTAGTTCTTGGCCACTGGCCCCCGGGTTAAAACAACAACGGCTCCCGCCTGAGACTTCCTCCGAATTTAGCCAGGACCCCCGCTCCCGCCCGAGACATCCTCGCATTTGATTCAGGAATCGCGCTCTCGCTGGGGACTTCCTTGCAATTTATTCAGGAATCGCCCCCCCGGCGCTCTGAAGTCGCGCTTTCGCTGGAGACTTGCTTGCAATCTACTGAAGAATGGCGCCCTTGCGTTGGACTTTCTTGCAATGTATACAAGCGCCGCGCTCCCGACATCCAGGCACCCAGGAATCGCGCTCACGCGTAGGACTCCCTCACAGATGACCTAGGAATCGGGATCTCGCTGCCCTCCGTGGCCCCGTTGCAGCCCCTCGTGGCCTCCTCGCTGCCCTTCGTGTCCCCGTTGCAGCCCTCCGTGGCCCCCTCGCTTTGTTTCGTGGCCCCGTTGCAGCCCTTCGTGGCCCCCTCGCTGCTTTTCGTGGCCCCGTCGCAGCCCTTCGTGGCCCCGTTGCAGCCCCTCGTGGCCCCCTCGCTGCCCTTCATGGCCCCGTTGCAACCAGTGGCCCCGTCCTTGCCCTCTGCGGCCCAGTATACGTATGCCCTTCGTGGCCCCCGCTCGTTCGCAGCCGTCGTGGCCCCATGTGCATGCCCTTCGTGGCCCCGCTGTCGCCCTTCGTGGCCCCCTCGCTGCCCTTCGTGGCCCCGTTGCTGCCCTCAGTGGCCCCGTCCTTGCCCTCTGCGGCCCAGTATACGTATGCCCTTCGTGGCCCCCGCTCGTTCGCAGCCGTCGTGGCCCCATGTGCATGCTCTTCGTGGCCCCGCTGTCGCCCTTCGCGGCCCCCTCGCTGCCCTTCGTGGCCCCGTTGCTACCCTCAGTGGCCCCTGTGGTCCCGCATTATCTGCCCTTCGTGGCCCCCGCTCGTTCGCGCTCTTCGTGGCCCCATACGCATTCCCTTCGTGTCCCCGCTGTCGCCCTTCGTGGCCTACTTCGTGTCCTTGTGGCCTTGCTGTCGTTCTCGCTCGCTCTCGCTTTCGCTCGTCGTCGCTGTCGCCGTCGTCGTCGCCGTCGTCGTCGTCGTCGCTGTCGTCGTCGTCGTGGTCGGTCACCTGTCCGTCCCTCTTGGGGTCGGGTTGCCGCCGATCAGCGCTGCCGCTGGCCAGGCCGACGGTCCGCGGCCGCCCCGCCGCTTGCCGGGGCCCGGTCTGCAGGTAAGAAAGGCTTACCCCCCAAAAGGGGCATAATCGAAGACGAAGAGGGCGGGTATCCAGGGTTTGGGGAATACGCGTTAACGGACACTCGCAGATAAGAGCGAAGAGTGTTAAAATGATTGTTGTTGCTGTAGTTTGTTGTCGTCGTCGTCCCCCCTGCGACCCACCCGCGACCCACTCGGCGACCCACCCCGCGACCCACCCCGCGACCCACCCCGCGACACCCACCTGCGACCCACCCCGCGACCCACCCCGCGACCCACCCCGCGACCCACCCCGCGACCCACGCCGCGACCCACCCGCGACCCACCCCGCGACCCACCCGCGACCCACCCCGCGACCCACCCGCGACCCACCCGCGACCCACCCGCGACCCACCCCGCGACCCACCCGCGACCCACCCCGCGACCCATCCGTGACCCACCCGCGACCCACGCCGCGACCCACCCGCGACCCACCCGCGACCGATCCACATTGGTTTGAAGAAAAAACGATGCCTGCGGCAGGCTCGTTTCATAATTTGTAAAACTTTGGCGCCCGCGGCGGGCTTGTCTAGAGTCTCGCAGATTGCCGACGTCACCACCGCCCCCTCACTTTTATCCGCATCTGCGGGGTGCTATGCAGCTTGAAAGAACGAACATAACACGACATAGCAGTGCATGGCAAAACCAAGCATGACATAGCAGCTCATGACACAGCAGAGCAGAACATAACAGAACATCTCAGACTTGCCTCCACCCGACGGGTTGGGGCCGCTAGATTTGTTGAACAGACCTCACGACCGGCCCACCCTGCAGACTGAAGCCGCCAGATCCCGAGGTCCACCGAGAGTCTTCTGAGTATCTTGCCACCCGCGCCTTCGACGAGCATGACATAACTTTAGAATACAACGCATCGCAAAACATAAATTGATAGAGCATGACCGATCATAACATGATAAACCAGAGCATGGCAGAACAGAGCATGACACAGCAGCTCATGACATAGCAGAGCAGACCATGACAGGACATATCAGACTTATTCCCCACCCTACAGGTTGGGGCCGTCAAATGTTCAGAGCAGACCTCCCGACCGGCCCACCCTGCAGACCGCAGCCGCCAGATCCCGAGGTCCACCGAGAGTCCCCTGAGTATCCCGCCACCCGCGCCTTTGACGAGAACGGCAGAACCAAAGCGCACGGCACGCAACAGCACACAGCACGACAGAACACGCCCGAACACAACATGACAGAGTGGAGCATCGCAGAGCATAGCACGACACGGAGGAGGTGGAGGAGGAGGAGGAGGAGGAGGAGGAGGAGGAGGAGGGGGAGGGGAGGAGGAGGAGGGAGGAGGAGGAGGAGGAGGAGGCAGCACGTGACGCAGCAGCACGGCAGACCCGCTTCCATCTGCGGAGCACGCCGGCGCTGGCGCCGGCGGCTCCCCTGCCGGCGGGTGCCCGGCGCCCGAGCTCGGCGTCGGGACCAGCTCGGGAGCGCTGGCCGGGGCGCGGGGGTGCAGCGGCCGGGGCAGGGGTAGTGCAGCACTCGGAAGAGCAGCAGCCACGCGCAGATGGGGCGACGAGATCTATGCATATCCACTGCTCCTGGCCAGGCCAATCCTGGGCCCAGGAGCGGTGTATACGCCCTCCTGGCCTGGCCAGGGAGGCATATATACAGCTCCTGGGCCCAGGATTGGCCTGGCCGGGAGCAGTGGATATGTATAGATATCGTCGCCCTAGCAGAGGGGGGGTGGGGGGGGAGGGGGGAGGGCTCCTTAGAAGCACCCCTGCTGCTTAGAGAGGGCGCGGGCCTTGTCTGTAGACGTGAGGCCGGCGCCTTCTGAGGAGCAGGCTCCTTCTAAGAAGCCCTCCCTCTCCCTCCACGCCCTTGTGCTCGCCGCCAGGAGCAAATTTGACAGTTCGGAGGAGGGGGAGGAAGAGGACAGGGGAAGAACGAGGAGAGGGGAAGGAAAGGGAGGAAAAGGAGGAGGAGGGATAGGGAAAAGGAGGAGGGGCGGGGGAGGAATGATGGGGCAGGGGGTAGTTGGAGGAGGATGCGGAGGAGGAGGAAGAGGAGGAAGAGGAAGAGGAGGAGGAGGAGGAGGAGGAGGAGGAGGACAGGAGCCGAAAGGATCATTTAGGATCGCTCGAAGCAGAAGATGTGCTGTTTTTCTCGGAACACCCAGGGGGCGCAGAGGTTGTTTGACCCCTTCGGCCGAACAGAGGTGAAAAGAGGTGCACCTTTTGTACCGTAGCGTGGCCCCGAGGGGGTCGCCTGGGGGACGACATGTGCACGTTTCTTCAGGATGTCAGGATCCAGGGGTCGAAAGTCGACCCCTGGACCACTTCTGGGGTGCGTTTTGACCAGGACTCCGAAGTGGGCCCAGCGGTGGCGGCGAGAAGCTTTCGTGAGGCCTCGATGAGGCGAAAACGACCCAAAGAAAACCTACGAACCTCGAATCTCCACGCCCCTCTTCCAACCGTCGCCCCCCCCTTCTACGCAACCCCCGACCAGCGCCCGGGCGTGGACTTTAAGTTCCCCAGCAAGAACTCCATACGGCGCCTCTCCGAGGGCGTTGGCCTCAGCGCCAGCGCGCGGGCCGTCCTGGAGGCGGAGGGCATCACCGCGGAGGACCTGAAGGTCACGTGGCGTTCGGGCCCCGGCGGAGGGCCGCGGAAGCTCGTGCTCCTGCATCCTGCTGCCTCGGCCCGCCTGTGTACCTGCCACTCGGCCTTCTCTCGTTCCCCTTCCTCCTCCACCTCCTTCTCCTCAGCCTCCAGTCCTTCTCCTTCTGAGTAGCTCCTCCCTGTCGCACCCCGAGGCCAGTCGGCAGGGCGGGCCGGGAGTTTCGCCCGAGACTTCCTTCCCACTTATGAGCATGAAGCTTCAAAACTGGCAGTAGGTGAAATGTGGCTCTCGCATTAGCGCCGAGCGCATTCATTTTAAAAGTTGCAGGACATTCACGGATCTAGGGCAAGTAGTTTTCAAATGTGATTCTCGCCTTGGCGCTTCGAACAATGTGCAAGATCTTCATGGATTGAGGGCGGCTGGTTTTTTTAATGTGGTTATCGTTTTGACGGGTTGAGGGCTGTTCTTGTTCAAACGGTGGTTCCCGCTCTAGCGCCGCGCAAACTCGCTATAAACAGTTGCAAGAGCTTCACGGATTGAGGGTTGCTATGTGTCGAAAGGCGGTTCTCGCTTTTTTAGTGCCGCGCACATACGTTTCAACTTTTGCAATATCTCCATTGGTCCCCCTTGCGTTCCGGAGCGATTGAGGGATTGCCTGGGCGCAACAGTTACGTTGATTCGCGGTGTTAAAGTCTCAGGAATCGTGTTCGGCACGGTTTTGGATCGCCCAGGAAAAAAAGCAGACAGGTTGACTCGTGGCGTTCAATTCTTGACAATAGTGTCTTCGCGCGATTGAGGATGTTCATTCGGCTGTCCCCCAACGGGCCACTTTTTTCAGAGGAAATGAACCCTGACACGAGCCTGTGGAGAGGGAGCTTGGAGGGAGGGTGTCCAGCAACATCGTTGATAGGTCTTGCATTTGCACTGGTCCTTACGAATAGCTCATCCCCTCCTCCTTCGCTCCCCGAGACGTGCTGGCAGCGCGCGCCGAGCGTCTCGCTTGAGGCTTCTTCACCACGTATGACCTTGAAGCCTGAAATCTGCAAGAGCTTCACGGATGGAGGGCGGGCCGTTGGCAATATGTGGTTCTTGCATCAGTGTTGCGCGCATTCGATCCGCACATTTGCAACAGCTTCACGGTTGCAGGGCTGGTAGTTTGCAGTTATCGTTTTAGCGCCGCGCGCATTTGTGGGTCGACGTTTGCAACAGCTTCACGGATGGAGGGCAGGTGGCTTTCACAATGTGTTTCTCGCCTCAGCACCAAGGTCGCTCGTGTTGTTGAAAGTTCGCAGCAAGATTCACATGGCCGAAGTCCCAGGAATCCTGTTCTGGCCAGGTTTACGACTGGTCAGAACGCGGCAGTCATGCTGATGCGCGGTGGTGAAGTCCTGGGAATGGTGTCTCGGCACGGGGGAGGACCGTCCGGGCGCCACAGTCACGTTGACCCGCGGCGCTGACTTCCCAGGAATTGTGTTCTGGCGCAACTAAAGATTCTCAGACGGTGGTTTTCCAATGAGGCATTTCCCGCAGCGGAAATAAACTAAACTCTTGCAGGGCCAATGCGAATATGAACTTTAGAGGGAAGGCTTACTGCAAGATCGCCGAACCGCCCCAGGGTTTACACTGGTCCTCCTCCTCCTCCTCCTCCTTCTCATCCTCCTCCTCCTCTTCCTCCTCACCCTCCTCCTCCTCCTCATTCTCCTCCTCCTCTTCACCCTCCTCCACCTCCTTCTCCTCCGCCTTTCCTTTCTCATGATCCCCGTCGCCTTCCTCGTGGTCCGCCTCTCCTTCCTCGTGACCATCCTCCTCACCCATCCTCCCGGAGGTCCTTGGTAACGCCTTCCACCGCATCGCCCTGCCGTTCTCCCCGCACAAGTCGGCCAACATCCGAGAGGCGGAGCTTCTGGACAGGAGGAGGAGGAGGAGAAGGAGGAGGAGGAGGAGGAGCAGACTGAGTGGCAGGGGTAAACGGTGGGGAAGGGGAGGTCGATTGAACCCCCACCTTGCCAAGTCGATCAGCGAGTTGTTCCTGTTCTGGTCCTCGAGGAAGTGTTCTGGCCGCAATGTTTGCGGGCCTGCGCCCGCCGGGTCCGGTCCCAGATCCGTCTCCTTGAGGGGCGCTTTGCGACAGGGGTCGCTGACCACCCGCGGGGGAGGAGGGAGAGAGGGAGGCGGAGCTGCTAGACATCCTGAACCGCTGCGAGCTCCACGGCTCCAAGTCGGTCCAGTTCCGCCGCACGTCGCAGTAGACGGGCTCCGAGGCACGGCCCTCCCGCCCACCATCCCCCCCGATGACGCCCTCGGGGCCTTCCTCGCGACGTGACCTCGCGACCTTCCTTGCGACCTTTCAACGGCGCGCCGTTGGATGATGCCCTCGCGACCTTCCTTGCGACGGGCGGCTCGCAGGCCCCCCCCCTCGCGGCGCCCGTCTTGTGTGCCGTGCCCTCTCCCGCGGTGGTCGCCTTTCCCCTCGCGTCGTCAAAGCGCGCCTGCGAGCCCCCGAGGGCGTGCCAGCGCCACGGCCACGGCCTCGCCTCCTCCCAGAGTCCCGAATCATCAGGGGCCACTCGGGTCAGGGCTATCTCGGGCTCGTTTCTCGGGAAGTCGAACCCGAGCCGCCCCGGCGCCCGAGCTGCCCCGGGCAACTCGGGCGCCCGGAGCCCCGAATCGTCCGGGGCAGCTCGGGTCAGGGCTAACTCGGGCTCGCTCTTCGGGAAGCCGAGCCCGAGTTACCTCGGGCCCGCGTTGCCCCGGATAACCAAGGGCGCCCTGGAGGGCGCGAAGTTACTCGCGCTTCGTTGTTCGGCTGCGATTCCTCCTCATCCTCCTCTTCTCCCCTGGGAGGCGGCGCGAGAGCGCGAAGCTGTTCGCACTTCGCGCCTCGCGCAGCGCGAAGTGCGCAGTTGGGAGCACCTGATCACTCGGGCGCCCAAATCCCTCCCTCCTCCGCCTCGCGGGCGACAGGGACCAGGCTTCGGGCAGGCCACGGAGCAGGCCCTCCGGAAGTGCTCCCGGATGAGGGCGACGAGGGGAGGGCGGGCGCGAGGGAGCCCTGCGCCGCCCCCTTGCTGGCCCCTCTGTGGTTCCTTCGGCATTTTTCCTTCGGTGGGCCTCCACCGGCGTTTGTCCAGAGGGTTCCAAAGGGTTTTTTGGAGGGAAAGGGGTTTCCAGAGACCCCCCCAGGGGCCTCGGAATTTCGTCAAAACATGGGGGTGCGAAGCCCCTGGGGAACCCCATCCAGGAAAACACCCTCCCCCAAAAACCCCCTTTTGAACCCTGGTTTTTTGGATGCCAGGACACTCAGAGGACACGCCTCCTCCCGTTCTCGCTCCTCGAACGCAGATTCACCTCCGTTCGGCGGGGCGTCGTTGCAGAGGGCGTCTGGCGCTCGACGTGCGCTCAGGCCCGCACGTGCGGGTAATTAGGAGAGGGGAGAGGCGGGGGGAAGCAGGGGGGAGGGGGGCGGAGGAGAAAGAGGGGGAGGGAGAGGGGAGGAGGGAGGAGGAGGAGGAGGAGGAGGAGGAGGAGGAGGAGGGGAGGAGGAAAGGAGTGGGGGGGGGGACTAGTCAGGTGCGCTCGCGCCATATCTGACGCCCTAGCTTCTGTCGGCCGGCCTCCAGGTCGCGGAAAACCTCGCGTCCCCTGGTTATCGGAGAGACCTGGAACGCTGGCCGTGGCGGCCGCTCTTCCTCGGAGGGGGGCCATCATCAGTGCATCTCCTCCTGCTGCCCGGACACAGGCAGGGGCGGAGCTGTGGTGCCTTCCAATTTTTGTGGCTTCCAGGAGGAGGAGGAGGAGGAGGAGGAGGAGGAGGAGGAGGAGGAGGAGGAGGAGGAGGAGGAGGAGGAGGAGGAGGAGGAGGAGGAGCTGTGGTGCCTTCCAATTTTTGTGGCTTCCTCTGCCATGCCGCAGTCTTCTGCATCTTTTGTTGGGCGAGGGGGCGATGGTCGGGTGCGACGTCGGCTTGCTCCTCGGCGCTGCTGGCTCGCCGGCGCGACCCCCGCGCGCCGGCACTGCGCGGATGTTTGCCCGGCGGCGGGGTGCTCGGGGGCAGTGTCGCTTCCAGGTTCGGCTGTGGTTTGAACGGCGCTTGATGCGCGGTCTGATGGCCGCGCGGCCATGTGGGAACAGGGATGAGTTAGCCCCTGTTCCCCCAGCGGGTGGCTCCACGACAGGCTTCTCCGTCACGGTAGTCCCTGGTGAGACGACCGTTACCGCAGGTTTTGTCGGGGGACCGATTCAGCCCGAGTGGGCGCCTCAATCTTCACGATGGCCCAGGGAACAGTGGAGCCTTGGACGTGGACCGCTGCGTTCGAAGGGGGGCTGGCCGCTTTGAAGATGGCGGAACCACCTCTGGTCATTTTGTCGCAACCTGCGTCTTGGACTTCCAGTGCCACTTGATGGACGAGAGGACCTTGTCAACTTGCGTCTCGGTGGCGCTCTGCGGCTCAACCCCCGCGATGCGGCACGTAGCGCGAGCAAGCGCGGCGTCAGCTCCCCGTGACCCGAGGGCGACTTGCTTCACCCTCTGAGAGTCAACCTGGATCATGATGCCCACGAGCTTGCCCGCTCGGACAGCGCCGTACTCCGTGTGCTCCGCCCAGGTGTTGTGCGCCTCTTGAAGCCTGATCTGGTGTGACCATCTGGGCACCACGCATTGACTTAGTCACCGGGCGGGGGGCCCTTGGGTGCCATGGCAGTTGATGTCGAACTGGATGCCCCCCCTGCCTGGATGCGGGAGGATGGCAAGCGGGGCGTCGGCTGGCTCCCTGCCTGCAGTGGACGTGGGCCTGCGCTGTCCGACGGCTCTGCCGCGGCGCCCCGGGAGCTCGACGGGGTCTTGAATTTGGACAGCGCGGAAGGGGGGCGAGAACACGGCAGTGAGAGCTTCAGTTCAGCGAGCGAAGAACGGTATAACATAAATTGTTTCGCCGTCGGGGACACCTGCCCCTGGGCGGCTGGAAAGTTGATACCCCTACGGTGCCACCGTGAGGGTATAAACTTTCCAGCCGCCCAGGGACAGGCGCCCCCGACGGCGAAAAAGTTTATGTTATACCGTTCTTCGCCCGTTAATCAGTGAGGTCGTTGTCAAGCTGTCTGCGCGGGGCGTCGTTTTTGAGAGTTTATGGCGTTCCTTCGTCTTCTGTTGCGCCATACTTGGTCTCTGATGGGCGCAGCGCCTGAGAACGGCGCCGTGAAGAGTCCTCGGGCGCGGGCGCCACCGCAATAGCATCGGCCTTACAGATAGCAGCGCGGATCCAGACTGCGTTGTCAGTTGGGTCGAGATTGATATGAACGACGTGTTGGAGGCATTGTACCTCGTCTCGTGCGAGCTGGTACATGGTCCCTTGAATTTGTCCTGGCGTGGGCTTTGTAGCCTTGGCCGTACGACGGAGGACTGGGATAATGGCACCACAACTGCGGGCACTAGAGGTTTGTCTTGTGTTCGGATATGCTGCAGCAGGCAGTCGGCTCCCTCTACCGCGTAAAGAGAGATGCTACGGGCGCACGACGTCCCGTCGCCACTTTCCTCGCGCAGCATGGTATAGCTGATCCTGTTTTCCTTGTGCATGTTCATGAGCTCGCCCCTGAGCCGTCGGTGGTCGGAGCGGTGTTAATGGCAGATCGTTTCGAGCTCGGCGTGGTGCTCGTGAGCCAGCTCGTTGGATGCCGCGACTGCTCTGTCTACGCCACCACTGCTCCGAAGTGTGGCGACGCAGGCTTCCGTTCCGGACAGGCGGCTATCCGGTAAGTGCTTGCCTGCGGGCAGCCCTTGCCTGGTGGCTTGGGCTGCCGTGGTCTTGGCATCGCTCGGACGCTCGGCCGTGTCCGGTCTCGCGAGGCAAGAACGGACTGGGGGCGTTTGGCGTCTGGGCTCGCTCTGAGCAGAGCTTTTTCGAGCCGAAGCTGGAGAGGGGGTAGGAGGGAGAGGAGGGGGGCGCGACGATGGAGAAGGGACGGGGGAGGGCGGAGGAGGGGAGAGAATGATGGTCGCAGGGAGGAAAGGAGGCAGGAGGAGGCAGGAGGAGAAAGGAGGACGGAGGAGGCAGGAGGCAGGAGGAGGAGGAGGAGGCAGAAGGAATGATGGTCGCAGGGAGGAAAAGAGGCAGGAGGAGGAGGCAGGAGGAGGGGAGAGAATGATGGTCGCAGGAGGCAGGAGGACGGAGGAGGGTCGCAGGGAGGAAAGGAGGGCACAGCGAAAGAGCAGGGGCTGGGGCAGGAGCAGAAGCAGGACTGCGGCGAGGAGCGGGTGGGAAGGAGGGGGTTGGAAGCTGCAGGCGGGAGGAGTGTTCGGATGCCCGGGGGTTTGGAGGCGTGCGGCCCCTTTGCCCCCCCCCCCCGCCGAACCTCCACACACACACACACACACCTTGATGTGTATGGTCACCTTCTCTTTCGCATGTTGGTTCCTCAATTGTTGGGCGGATCGGGTTGACCGGTATGTTTTGTCGGCACGGCGCGATGGTGCCATTACTGATTTGCGTCAGGCTGGCGAGCCATAACGTTAGCTCTTGACGTGGGTATGGATTCACCAATGTGTATACTACTTGCCAGGTCGGCGCGCCACGATGCGCCGCTTGGCATAATCTCGTCGGGAAATTTTCGCGCAGCATTCCCGTTCCGCCAAGCCTCGGCTGGTCCCATGTCGATGGCACCCCACTCAACTTCGAGTGCTTGACTGACGCGCACTATAAGCTGTGGGCATCGCCTAAACAGTTTGCATGCCTGCATCTTCGGCTATCCAGCCGCAGGGGTCCAGGAGGCAGGAGGAGGAGGAGGAGGAGGAGGAGGAGAAGCAGAAGAGGAAGCAGAGGTAGGAGGAGGGAGTGCAGGGGCAGTTCAGGAGGCGGAGGAGGGAGGAGGAGCAGCCAGCATCGGCAGGAGGAGCAGCAGCAGCAGCATCATGAGGATGGCGAGGCGCGCCGTCGACAGCGAGCAGCGCGCCGAGGAAGGGCGCCGTGGCAGTGCGGCCTTGCGCTTCCTGGCGGTCTCGGCCAAAGGCGGCCCACACACCAGGAGCGGTTGCTCCCGGAGCCGTGCTCACTCTGAGGACCGGGGCCAACAGCATAGTCCGCCCACTTCGAGCAGGGCTCGCCGTCGGTGTCTTCGCGGACGTTCTCCGCTTCGGGCGGCGGGTCGCCCTTTCCAGCAGCGGCCGCCGTCGGGTTTGGACAGCACGTGCTGTATTGAGCGGAGTGTGGTCGGGGGCAGTGCGAGGGGCACGGGTCTCTCAGGAGGCGGCCCGCCTCCTCACCGGCCCTCGCGCCCGCCGACAAGCCCTGGCCCTCCCAAGCGCATCTAGAGGGGGCGAGCGCTTCGGGTCCGGGTGCGCCACATGCTCGACTGGCCTCGCCCACCGTGGGCGGCGCGCAGCGGGGAGTGGGGGCGCGAGTGTGGGGCGGGAGGGGAGGGGAGCTGCCTTCTCAGGAGGCTGGGGCGGGGGTCCGAGAGGCCCCCCTGTCTGGTCGGAGGCCTTTAGCCCCTTTGGGGAGGGCGTCTTATACGCACAAGGCCGCCACTGTTGCCCCCCCCCCCACCCCCCTCTTGAGCGCCGCCTGGCCCTCCCGCGGCGTGTTGAAAGTGTTTGACGAGGAGGGCGTCCCAGGCGCTGTTTTGGTGGGCCAGCAGCCCCGGCTGGATTAGCCCGTCTGATGTTACGTGCTGCCGCGTGCTGCATGTCGTTGCCACCTGCCTCTGCCTGCGCCCGTGTTCCTTGCCGCGGTGTGCGCTAGACCACCATATCTGGGGGCTCACGAGACGGAGGGGCAGATGGAGCCAGGGGGAGGGCAGCAGAAGGGGGGGCGAGCGGGGCGAGGTGCGAGGTGCGGGGTGCGGGGAGGCGGGAGCGGGAGGTCTTGCTCGTGTTGCTCTTTGGGGTTTGGGGCTGCATGGATCCGCGGCCAAGGACGGATTCGGTCATGGCGGGTCTGCGTCGCTGTGCAGAGCGCCTTGGCGAAAGGTTCCCGCAGAAGCTCGAGCCTCAACGATAATCTTAGAGCTGACTTCGAGAGTTCGCAGTGCCGCCCCTTCGCCTCGTCCAACCCCGTCCCCCCCCCTCACAAAGAAGGCAGCTTTGGGGTGGAGCGGTAGGTGGACGGGGAGGGGGAGGAGGAGGAGGAGGAGGAGGAGGAGGAGGAGGAGGAGGAGGAGGAGGAGGAGGAGGAGGAGAAGGAGGAGGGGGAGAGAGAAAAGGAGGAGACGGGGACGAACAATGACGACGGCGACAATGACAGATGGGGGGAGGGTCCCACCTTCGTCTCGAGAGCAGACTATCCGTTCGCGTGCTAGACTGGACGGGCATTCCTGAAGGGCAATAAGAGCAGTAGCCCTTTATAGCACACACGAGGAGGAATAATACCTTATGACCCTGTGCCTACTTCCATCAACTTGTTTGTCGGGAGATCTTGATACTGAAAACGGCTTTGGGGGAAATAACACAAAAACAATAACAATAAGCATGCTCGCCAGAACTGACAAGAAACGGCTCCAGGATTGTAACCGGAGTGCAACTGGAATCAAGAACGGGCATGGAACCATAAACAACAACGGCGCCATAATTGGAAGAGCAGCGGCAGGACGAGCACGGAACATACAATGCCTCGTCGTTTCCACGAAGTGTTCAGAAGTGGGAGCCAGAGGAGAAGGAGGAGGAGGAGGAGGAGGAGGAGGAGCGAGGAGGAGGAGGAGGAGCGAGGAGGAGAGGAGGAGGAGGAGGAGGAGGAGGAGGAGGAGGAGGAGGAGGGGAGGAGGAGGAGGAGGAGAGGAGGGAGGAGGGAGGAGGGAGGAGGAGGAGGGAGAGGAAGAGGAGCAGGAGGAGAGGAGAGGAGGAGGAGAGAAGAGAGCGAGGAGGAGGAGGAGGAGGAGAGGAGGAGGAGGAGGAGGAGAGAGGAGCGAGGGGGAGGAGGGGGAGGAGGAGCGAGGAGCCGCGCCTGCAGCCGAGGCGAGCATGGCAGGGGGCCCCGCGCGGCCTGCGCCGCGCGCCCTGACCCCGCGCCCCGAGCAGGAGGGGCGGCCTTGGGCAGCCCTGCTGCGAGGAGGAGGAGGAGGAAAAGGAGGAGGAGGAGGAGGAGGAGCAGGAGGAGGAGGAGGACGAGGAGGAGGAGGAGGAGGAGAGCACGAGGAAGACGAGGGGAACAAATGAGGATAGAGAGACGAAGAGGGAAAGGGCAGGGAGAAATGCGGCAGGCAGAGGCGGAGAGAGAGAGAGAGAGAGAGACAGAGAGACAAGGAGGCAAGGGAGGAGGAGGAGGAGGAGGAGGAGGAGGAGGAGGCGGAGGAGCTGCAAGTGGTAGAGGGAGGAGAGCATGGTGGTGTTGTTCTTGAAGCGCTCAGATGGGCCTGCCCCCTCCCTCTCCCCTGCTCATGATGGATTGTTGCCTCTAGGGAGGTTCCTTGAGAGTCGCCGGGGCCACATCAGAGCAATGCTGTGACCATGTTGAGGCCGCTTGGAGCCATGCTGGAGACCAGCTTGGATTCCAAGCCTTGGACCATGTTGCTGCATCTTGGAGGCTATATGAGGCCATGTTACGGGGCCAGTTTAGGGCCACCTAGGGCCAGTTTGGACGCTCCAACTACCGGCGCGCCCAGGTGTAGGGAAACGATGAAGCGTTTCTCGAAGGCGAAGAGGGCACTGCTGTTGGCAGAGCGGGCCTGCTGCGGTCCAGTTGTGGACAGGCACTCGGGTGCCTCGTTTGTCTGCGCCGTTCATCTCCATCTCGAGAAGCCCGGCTGCGCCGTCGACGGAGACACCGCTCTGTCTGCCACGACGGGCGTCGAGTTCCCGATGCAGTGCTACCGTCGGGGCGGTGATGAGATGTTGGGCTCCAGGACCGCAATCGGAGACCTCGGCGTCCCGCTGCCGGGAAGGGCCAGGAGGCGATCGGTGAGGGGGAGGCGCCGAGCGAGAGCGACGTGAGCCGACGGTTTCCGGGGCATCCTGGGGGACCTCGCGGGATCTGTCAGCCTCGTCTGCCCGTCTTTCTCGAACAATGAAATAAGCAGCATAAGCATTACAGTCGGGGCCCTGAAGAAGGAACCCTTTTCGTTGGGGAGGGGCTCCGCGTTCCTTGATTGTTTCGCAGCTCGCCTCAGGTTTTCCTTATGTTTCCGATAGGAAATCGAAGTTTAACTTATGGCAAAAAGGGGCCTCGTTCCTTATTTAGGGTTCCTTAGGTCAAGGCCCCGACTGTAAGCAGCATAAGCATTAGCATTCGGAGCTCCGAGCAGATTTCCTGGATCGGCTGGCGAGCGGAACGCGCCATGGGCGGCGCCAGAGGCGCCGCTCATGGAGGCCCAGCGCCGATCCATGAGGTGTTCGCGGAGCTCAGGGAGTTTGTTACGTATACTTTCTCCTCCTCCTCCTCCTCCTCCTCCTTCTCCTCCTCCCTCCTCCTCCTCCTCCTCCTCCTCCTCCTCATCCTCCTCTTCCTCCTCCCTCCTCCTCCTCCTCCTCCTCCCCTCCTCCCTCCCCTCCTCCTCCTCCTCCTCCTCCTCCTCCTCCTCCTCTCCTCCTCCTCCTCTCCTCCTCCTCCTCCTCCTCCTCCTCCTCCTCCTCCTCCTCCTCCTCCCTCCTCCTCCTCCTCCTCCTCCTCCTCCTCCTCCTCCCCTCCTCCTCCTCCTCCTCCTCCTCCTCCTCCTCCTCCTCCTCCCCCTCCTCCTCCCCCTCCTCCTCCCCCTCCCCCCCCTGTTCCCTCTCCCGCCCGCCCGGCGCTCGGGCGCCGAGGTTCTGCGCGGGGCCGCCGTGGAGGAGTCGTGGGGCAGGCCCGGGGCGCCTCGGGAGATCTGCGCCGGCCTGGGCGCACCGCCTCCCCGCCTCCCCGCCCCGCGCCCCGCGGGCTGCGGAGAGCGAGGCGGGGAGGCGGCGGCTGCGCTGAAGGCGGGCGTGTCCCCCTACAGGGGGATGCTCGACGAGGAAGAAAGAAATGTTCCAAGCATCTTCCAAAAAATGGTCCAACAGTTCTCAGAAAAGAGTCCCCGGACTATCTTGAAACTGTTTTGGAAGACTCTTCCTGTAGAGAGACGGGCCCGACTGAAGGCTGCGCAGAGTCTCGGCGAATCTGTTCGCCTTGAGCGCGCCGCCCCCTGTCTCCCCCCATCCTCGCTCGCCGCAGTCTTCTACGGCCTCCGAGGCGCCGAGAGGTCTGAGGGTGGCCCAGCACCGGTGCCGGCGAGCAGGGAGGGGGGGGGAAGATTTTCCAGGTTTTGGGTCCGAGCACGTCTTCTGCCTCCGTCAAAACATGACCCAGGGCGAAGAGCTGTGCCAGCTGGGCCCCAGGAGTGGTCCGTGGACCGATATTGAGAGGTCTTGGCTTCATCCCCCCTCCTGGGCAAATTTCTGGTGCCCCAGCCAGTACAGACCCCCCGCCCGCCTCCACCTTGAGCGTACCTCCCCTCGTCGCCCATCCTCGCTCTCCGCAGTCTTTTCCCGTTGTCTCTCCATCCACCGCGGCAGCCGTTTTAGATCGAGCGGGGAAATCATGCCTGGAAGGCATGGCCGGACCACAACTCGACTATGAGATACTGGGTGCCGTGAAGGTGAAGGATGGCCTCTTCATCGGGGATGAGCTGGCAGCGGGGGACCTGGAGTTCATCGTGTCGAACAAGGTGACACACGTCATAAATTGCGCTGGCCGACAGGTCCCCAACCACTGGCAGTCCATCGGCGTCGCGTACCTAACGTACTACTGGGTTGACGCGGACAACCAGGTCATTCTGGATCAGCGGGACGTGGTTGCGAATGAGATTTTCGCGTTCATCGAGCAGGCTTTGACGGAAGCGAACAGCATCCTCATCCACTCCGTCCGTGGCCAGTCCAGGTCATGTTGCGTGCTGTCTGCGTACATGATGAAGAAGTACTGCTGGGGCCTGAGGAAGACGATGGAATTCCTGAGCTTCCGCCGCCCAGACATGAACCTCAAGCCCGCATTCCTCGACCAGTTATCTGGCTACGAGAGTTGCCTCATCAGCCAGTCCAACCAGACCTTCAGCCTAGATTGGAACGATGGCAACTTCAAGAGCCTTGAGTGCGAGGACCTGCTGCTGAGAAACACATACATCAATAGCCAGATGGGTCCACCAGCAGACTTCCAAGTCACTGCGAACGCCGTGAGACCTCGAAAATTACAATGGAAGGACGAAGATCCGCACGAGGATGGCAGGTTAGAGAAGCCTGCCGGGGCTGACCGCCACAACTTGCAAAACCTGGATCCCAACTCGGTGAACGGCTCGCATTTGCGATGCGTGCTGAAGAAGGGCACGGCCATCCCAGGCGTGGATCCGCTCGGGCCGGAGGGCTACCCGAGCCACACCAACCACCAGGCGCACCCGGCGCACCAGACCCACCCGAGCCACCAGAGCGCAGAGGCCTGGGCTGGCGTCGCCGCCCCAGAGGTGCCCGAGCACCCCCAGGTCTACGGCCCCGGCGCTGGGGTGGGCGTGGGCGGAGGAGCTCCCGTGCGCGCCGTGCCCCTGCCCGCCAAGGCCAACGGCGTCCCCGTCCACTCGCACGCGGTGCCCGAGGCATGGGCCGAGGGCGAGACGCCAGCACGGCCGCGGGGGGGGGGGGGAGGGGCGCCAAAGCGGGCCTCGCCCGTGAAGATCGCCCCCGGACCTCCGACGCCGCGTCTTTGCCCGACGCGCGGGCCCCCATGCAGAGCCCTGGAGCCCCTCCCGGAGGACCGAGAAAAGCGAAGTACGTACAGTCGGGGCCCTGAAGAAGGAACCCTTTTCGTTGGGGAGGGGCTCCGCGTTCCTTGATTGTTTCGCAGCTCGCCTCAGGTTTTCCTTATGTTTTCGATCACAAATCGAAGTTTAACTTATGGAAAAAAGAGGCCTCGTTCCTTATTGAGGGTTCCTTCGGCTAAAACGCTTCGACTGTACCTCCCGGTGCGATTGCTCCGAGTCGCCAGAGGTCTGCGACTGGGTCGTCCAGGGTGCCCGCTGCCCGGTGGCTTTCGACTGCCTCGCGGCCCGCCGCGCTCGATCGGCTCGGCCCGGTCGGCTGCTGCGCCGCCTCGTCCTGCTGCGCTGCGTCTTCGCTCGGTCGGTTTCGGCCTCGCTGTCGGCCTTGCCGGTTCGTGATGCAGGTGTCGCTTTCCCTGCAGGCATCTGTGGGGAGTCGGTCTCGGTTTAGCTATTGGTCCCGGCATCGTCGTGGGCATCTTGGTTTCGGCATATATGGTCGGTTTTTGATCTTGGTCCCGGCATCGTCGTGGGCATCCGTGGTGCGCGCTCTCCCTGCAGGCTGGTGCAGCACCCTGCCGCGCCGGCCCCCGGCGCGGCCCAGGGGGGCCGAGCAGCGGCCTACGACAGCAACGACACGAGGCTCGCAGAGGGAAGGGCGCCCTCCGTGGCCGAAGGCCCCAAGCATCATGTCGGGCGTGTCCCCCCACAGGGGGATCTTCGACGAAAAATAATAATAATATATATTTTTATATATATATGTATATATATATATAAAAGGCCAAACAATTATCAAAAAAAAGTCCCCGGACTATTTGGGGACTATTTTTTATTATTTTGGCCCTCGCATCCTTCTCGGGCGTCCTTATGATCCGGGACAGTTAGGGACCGTTTTCTGATTCATTGTTCTGCCGATCGGCGCGGGCCCTCGGACCCCCGCTCCACCCCCCCGTGGAGCCGTGGATTAGCTCTTGGCTGCTTTTTGGCGCCTGTTTCAGGCAGGTGGGGTCCCCCCCTAATGGACGCCCTGTTGCAGACAGTCGCGCTGAGCAGAGGTCTGGAGCCAGACCGCCCCCCCCCCCTCCCTCTCCCCTTCCGCCCATGGTCGCAACGCGGAATATAAACAAAAATAAATAAAAATAAAAAAACGCCCACTCACACGTCACGAGGGGCAGCCGCGGCCGTGTCCGCGACCTCGCGGCCTGGATTCTGGGGCGACAGCCCACGGCTGTGCGGTCCCAGGGAGATTCGAGGGTGGACAGACCTCCTACCCTGACACGTCGATTAAGGAATTGGCGGTTTTCGGTTTGCGAGAGGGCGCCGCGGCCGTCATTTTTGCGGGTCCGGGTCCGTCGGTTTCGGTCCTAGGTCGTTTTCACGAAGGGGATGTTTACTAAAGGGAGGTTTGTCCACCGCCGAGAGATGCGTTCCGCGCGGGGCGCACCTGCGAACAAAAAAGCGTCGCGCACCCGCGCAGGGGGTCGCGGCAGCAGGGCCCGACCCGCGGGGCCGTGGGTATACCGACATGTGCTTCGCCCACGACGTCGCCAGGCTTTTTTATCAGAGGGTGATAGACCTCCTACGGTAGGTTCGCGTCGTGTCGACTCGTCGCGACCCCGCCGCGGGCGTTCAAGGTTGAACGCCGCCAGTGGCCCAGAATCGGCCTAATATGGAACGATATGGCAATCGATACGCCGCCGATCGTTCAAGGTTGAACGATCCACGCGATGTCAGAAACCAACGCTGGGGTCGACACGGCGCAAACCCGCCGTGCCCTGACGCGTGGATTCGCGAATTCGCCGTTTTCGGCTCGCGAGAGGGCGTCGCGGCCGTCATCTTTGGCGGGTCCGGGGCCATCGGCTTCGGTCCCAGGCCGTTTTCACGAAAGGGAGGCTGGCTAAAGGGAGGTTTGTCCCCCGCCGATTCTAGAGGAATCCAACAGAGCCCGTGCCGACACACTGTGTAGGGAGGAGGTCAGCTGAGCACAGACAGGTCGGCGCTCGGAGCGGATCTCTCTTGGGCCGTCGGTTTCGGTCCTGGGCCGCGTTCACGAAAGGGAGGCTGGCTAAAGGGAGGTTTGTCCACCGCCGATTCTAGAGGAATCGGACAGAGCCCGTGCCGACACACTGTGCAGGGAGGAGGTCAGCTGAGCACAGACAGGTCGGCGGTCGGAGCGGATCCCTCTTGGGCCGGCGCCGGGCCCCCCCGGCGGCGCCCCCGCCGGCCCGAGAGATCTGCGCAGAGCTTCGAACGGCCATCGTGTTGGTATGCCGCCTTCGTTGCCCCGACGCGCCCGTTTTCAAACGCAACACGTCCCGTGCTCAGGACGTCCGTGTCAACACGTTGCGCGTTGGCTCCGCGTATTGGACCGCGTGTTGGCGAATGTGCCGCGTCGGGCCTACGTCTTCAGCCCACGCGTTGAGCTCCGTATCGATACGATACGTGTTGCGCCTTGCGTACCGGGGCAGCTAAGTCTGCCGCTTTTTGTTCGACTAGACGTAAGAGTGACCTTTCGCCGGAGTGACCTTTGGTGCGGGCACAGATGGGCCCCCAGGTGGCTGAAAACGAACCGGGAGCAGCGGCTTGCGCGCCCAGGTTTGGTCCCCCCGCCGCCACCAAAAGGCCGCGCACCAGAGGTCACTCTTACCCAGGGTCGCTCTTGCGTGTAGCCGATGTTGGGTCGACCCCGAGGCATCGGGCGCCTTCGCCCTCGTTCCAGGTCATCGACGAGGGCAGGAAGACCATCAAGGTCCGGCCTCCACGGGCCACGGTGCAGAGCTGGGACCGAGAGGCGTCGGCGCTCCCTGGCGCCCGACCCCCCCCCCGCTCGGCACCCCCGCTCGGCAATGATCAGGAGGGGAAAAAACACACAGACACAATTAATCGTCGATTCCCAGAAAATATGGGAAAATATTGGAAGTGGGGGGGAAGACAAAAACCGAGAAAATATAGGAAAATATGGGAAATCTTTTTATTTGTGTGTATTTATTTGTGTGTCCCAGTTTCCCTTCAAATGAGGCCCGACGGGCCCCTCTCGGCGCCGCCCCGGCAGGATCCTCTCAAGGAGGGCGCCGACCCTGCCGGCCGCCGACCGACGCGTCTCGAGGGGGCTCGGCTGCCCGAGGCTGCCTGCGCCACGATGCCTTTTTCACCACCCACCAAACCACCCCAACCCAAACCGCCCCAACCCAACCCGAAGGCTCAGATTTACCCTCGATTTCCAGTGGGGGGGGGGTCGGGCAACATTGCCAAAACACCTGTGTAACCCTTACCCCCCCCCCCACCCGAAGTTCGGGTCTTCGGGTTGGGTTGGGGTGGTCTGGTAGGTGGTCACTTATTGCCGCGGGCCCCGGGCTTCTCGAGCGCCTCCCGGGGGCTCGTGTTTCACCCCGGGCGCCTGTGCCACTCGGCGGCGAGCGCTGGGGGGGAAGCGAGAAGCAGCTTCTCAGAAGGCCCCGGGGGGGACCTCCGAGCCTTCTGAGCAGGCCCGCCCCTCCTCGTTTCCCCCCCGGGCTCGCCGCCCGTGGCCCCAAGGGCCGGGAGCGGGCCTCGCGCAGGCCTCAGAGGGCGGCCGTGCTCGTGGCGCTGGGTGCTCGGCATCGCTCGGACGGGTGCACAATGTCTCGGCGAGGACCATCGAGGAGCCTCTCCGAACAGCTACTTAGCGGAAGATGCGCGCACGAAATACGGATCAGATACGCGCAGGAAATACGCGCACGAGCACGCGCAGAAAATACGCGCGCGAACCCCTAGAAAAAAAAACACGGGGAACGGACGGCCGAGCGACGGCAGGGGTGCCGGGGGAGAAGGGCCCAGCGCCGAGGAGAGGACCCAGGGGTGCGTTTGTTGGCGGACCTGGGCGGGCCGAGAGCGGGGGAGAGTCGGTGGCCAGGGCCCCGGGTTAAGGGGGCCCGGGTGGTGGCAGGGCCCTGGAGCCCCTGAATTGTCGGGGGCGGCAAAGAGGGGGGTGATGACTAGGGGGGGGGGATACACCTTAGGCGATGCTTAAGAGAACTTACGTTTTCGGCCAGAGTTTCGATTATTCTTAACGTTTCAATGCAAATCTTAAGATTTTAATGGAAATGTTGGGTTTTTATTCAAGTTCTGAGACTATGAATTTCTTAACCCATGATTTCTTAAGCATTTCGCAGCGTGTATCATGGCGGGGGCCATGATATTTCCCCAGATCTCATGGCGCCTCTTCTTATTTCATTACGTCCCTGGCCCCCCCCGCTGGGCCGCGCACATGTCGCCGGTCATGATTTGCATCCCCCCCCCCCTCTTGGACCCCCCCCTCTTGGCCGCTCCCGAAAATTGTCGGGGGTGGGAAGAACCCCCAACAGTTCAAGCAGTGGTGGAAAGCGTCCCGGCTCGCCCATAGCCCCACCAAGCAGTGTTCTAAAACCTTTTTTTTGGTTCCCACGAAATGTTCTTAGAACGTTTCTGGCTGGGGGACCGTCTTGTTTTAACACATCGGGGTTGATGTTCTAAGAACATTGTTTTTGTTCTTAGAACATTTTTGGATTCTAAGAGCATTTCGTGGTATGACTATGGGAATGCCAGGACGGTCGGTCCCTGCTCAAACAGTGACACGTCGATTAGTGAATTGTCCGTTTTCGGTTCTCGAGAGGGCGCCGTGGTCGTTATTGTCCAGGCTTGCGCCCGCCAGGTGTGGGCCTCAGGTCGTTTTCACCAAACCACGTTTTACTAAAGGGGGGCCTGTCCATCCCCGAAATTGGCAAGAATCACTAAACCAGGTTTGCCGTAGATGGTGTTTTTTTCGGGTGACTGCAGTTCCGTTTGGTGGAACGGTCGGAGGAGGGGGGCGTCCCCCAGTACCCATCACTGAACCAGGTCCCATTAAACCCAGTTCTGCCAACGCCCGGGGGAGGCCTGGAGGGAGAGGGGGGCGGGGAGTGGACTCGAGGCCTCCCAGATGGGGTCCGAGCGGGTGGGGTCAGAGGATTCGCGCCGCATCGCCGGTGCATCGGCGGTGCATCGCCGATGCATCGACGATGCGGCTCGATGTGGAGACCGTGTTTCCCCACGGCGACGTCGGCGGCGCATCGCCGACGTTCCCGATGCATCGCCGACGCATCTCCGATACATCGGCGATGCGGCGCGATCCTTCGACCCCATCTACTCCTCCCCCATCCAGGGGCCTATATAGGCACAGCAAGTAAGAAGTCGGCCTGCCAGCGGGTACGCCACGTAAGTGTCCTGGCCGCCGATGGCCCCGGGGGCCCGCAGAAGCCCTTGTGACGCTTCAGGGCTCAAGGTCTGCGAAAGCCTGGGCTGGGGCCCCTCCAGCTGGCGGCGCGCACAAGGGGGTACGGGCAGGGGGGAAGGCTTCCTAGAAGGAGGCCGGTTCTTGGACGGCGCCGGCCCTACATCTGCAGACAAGGACCGCGCCCTGTAAGAAGCAGCCTCCTAAGAGGCCTCCCCCCCCCTCCCCCATGCCCCCCTCCGTGCGCGCCGCCAATCCACAGAGCCGGCCAACTTGAAGAGCCCAGCTTTACACTCGTTTCTGGTGTGTTCGATGATCCTATGGCCCGAGGCCCGTCTTCCTCCTTCGAGTAGGGGATCGACTACAGAGTTCACTTACCCCAGAATCAGTTTTCTCGTCGAATCTGCGGACAAATACTCAGAATTCTCAGTAGAGTTGCGACGAATCCTGGCGTTGTCGTCGTAGACTCGATCGGGAAACACCAAGTTGGGGGTAAATCGATTCTGTGGTCGATCCCCTGCTCGACTCATCGTAATTCTCATAACCGTCCTACCTGCCCTCCTCCTCCTCCTCCTCCTCCTCCTCCTCCTCCTCCTCCTCCCTCCTCCTCCTCCTCCTCCTCCTCCTCCTCCTCCTCCTCCTCCTCCTCCTCCTCCTCCTCCTCCTCGCCCGCGCGGTCCAAGCGGGGACTTCTCGTCCCAGGGATACGACGGAGAGGAGGGCCTGGTCTGGCGCGTCCGGCTGAACCTCAGAACCCTGAGAGTTCGACGCAGAGCGTGCCCAAAGATCCCAAGGTTTCTCATCGTTGGTTTCGTCACCTCTGCAGGGCGCGAGTTCCTCGATGCATAGCCGCCCCAGGCGCCTCGAGGTGCCCGCCAGGCCAGCTGCGCGCAGTTGCATCGCCAGCCCGGAGGGTTAGAGGTCAGAAGCCGGCGGACAAGGGCAGCCCTGGAGCTCGTTCCGGCTTCAAGAAATCAACGTCGCAGCGGCTTGCGGGAGATTGCAGCGCGTCCCTGAAGGTTTTTCCGAATCGTTTCCCACTACGTGTCCTGTCAAGTTTTCCCGAAGTTGCCTCCCAGAATTGCCAGAGCTCCTCCGAAGGACCTTCGGGACGCTTCTGTCCCCCCCCGGTCCTAAATCTTGGCAGCAGCACCGCTCAACGATGTGCTGTCAACCAAGCCTGCAGCGTGGGCATTTCCATTCTTCTGTGCACGTCGTCCCTGGCTTCGGCTTCTGCCCTTCGATGTTCCACGAAGCGCCTTCGGCTCAGCTCTCCCGAGTCAGATTGCCGCTCACAGGGGTGCCTCCCTCCCCCCCCCCCCCTTCTTTGTCGTGGGCCCACCTTTCGTGACCACCACGAGAGGCCAGGTGTGGCTGAGCTAGGGTGGCGCTCTACTGTGCGCAGCCGGCGCCTCACACAACAGAGCGCCACCACAAGTCAGCCGCACCGGGCCTGGAGTGGTGGTGGTGCGAAGTGGGCCCGCCGCCTGTCGTTCGCCTCGGAAGGTCGAGCGGGTCCCGCCGCAGCGCCCTCCCGTGACCACCATCCGGGACTCCCTGACGAAGGCTCGTCGCGACTCGGCCCCAGACCACAGGCGCCTTCGGCAACGGCTAACCAGCCACCTTCGGACCAGGCCAGGACGAGGACAAGTCCATTCCAGAGCGTTCGAAAAACGCTCCTGGAGCGATCTGCAACGCTCTGAGAAGGCCGCGGCGCCCGATGCATCTTCCGGAGCCGCCAGATCTCAGAGATGTCCTGGACTTATCCTCGCCTTCGCAGGCCCAGAGGTTGACACCAACACCAAGGTCGGCGGTGTGCCTCCACCGAGGGACGACGGTCCCGATCTCGGTGATGGTGGTAATATTCTTCAGGACGGGAAAAAACACACAGACACAATTAATCGTTGATCCCCAGGAAAAAGTGGGAAAATATGGGAAGTGGGGGGAAGACAAAACCCCAGAAAATATAGGAAAATAT